TAAAAAACACCTGCACCTGTGGTGAGACGGGCTCCGTCAGAATAACCTGTAACCCCCCCAGAGCATCCCAATAAATAAAATTAAATTTAAAAAAAACAACAAAACACCTGCAATGGAGACAGGCTCCGTCAGAATAACCTGTAACCCCCCCACAGCATCCCAATAAAAAAAATTAAAAATAAAAAAAAAAACACAACAAAACACCTGCACCTGTAATGGAGACGGGCTCCGTCAGAATAACCTGTAACACCCCCACAGCATCCCAATAAAAAAAATAAAAATAAAAACTACAGCAAACACCCTCTAGTCTGAGGCAATATGTTCAATTCTGATGGGAGATTTGCTGCATTTTGTTCAGTTTAGTCTGTTCATTATTCTACCCGCAAAACTCCTATATTTTCTTAGGGGTCTTTATTTTCATGTTGTATTTATATTCTTATTCTTTGCTTATTTTTGCTTAATTTAGGAGTTTTTATTTTTAACTTTGCATTTATATTCTTATTTTTTTGGCTATTCACATTTAGTGTGTACCTGTACTTAATCTGTATTTTTTTGCATTTTGCTCTGTCACTTTTTAGCCCTGAAAGCTGCTGGTAATTTTAATTTCCTGAAGGAATAAAGTACCAGTCTAAGTCTTCAGTGCTGTACCAAGCTGGTCCCAATCCGATATCTGGATCGGAAGGAGAAAATGCAGATCCAGATTCCAGATCCAGTTTTTTTTCAAAGTATTAGCATTAGCATCTGTAACCCACAGGTCTGTGTCCTAACCATTAAGTTGTTATCAGAGTAAATCCCTGTTCAACACGCGTCTGACAACTAAGTAAGTAGATAAATAACTTTAAACTTTAACACATGCTCTGATAGGCCAGGATCAGATTGGAAAAAGCTGGATGGGGACATCCCTATGCTGTACTATTCAAAACCCTTTTTCCTTGCCTGTGTCTTCTAGTGCTGCTTTTGGTGGGAATTATTGTTCTATAAATATCAGTCCGTCTGATCTGATCCGTTTGGAAAGCTGGGAGAAAACTGCTCTGATGTGGCACCATTTAAATAAAATTAAATTGAAAACTTCCATTAATACAGTTGCTTATTGGTCTGTACGTTTAGGAGAAAGGTACCAGAACTGTTGGCCTTTTCATAAAAATAAATAAAAAATTGAGTAATTCTTAAAAACTTTCAAATTCAAGCATTTGACTTAATGTCAGAGTTTTAACTTACAACATTAATGGCAATTTTTTAAAAATGTGAGGGAAAGCAGCATCTGATTGTAGAAGATTCTCTGATTTTTAGCTGAATAAATAAAGACGAACATGCTAACAGTTGCTACTGATGCTAAAAGCTAAAACAGAGCAGGACTGAGGCTGTAAATAAAAACCGCTGCTCAGGCTTTCCCCACCAACAGATTCCCACTTTCAGCTCTTTTGTGGATGTAAAATGGCTGTTCGAGTCCCTCAGAGCTAAATCCTGGATCGTTTTTACTCACGTCTTTGCACCGCATTCTGCGGCTGGACATCTTGAAGTAGTATTCCCGGTTGTCCTCGGGGTGAAACGGGTCCTGGGAGCAGGCGTGGAGCAAAGCCCGCACAGACTTCTCATTCTCAAACACCAGGTAGACGTACCCTACAAACAAACAGCATTTAGTAAACACCCAGAGGCAATGTATTACTCAAAATAAATAGTATATACTTTAAGATTTACATAAGAAACTGATACAACAGTGTTGCAATTAATGGTTCAATTAAACCTGACAAGTGAAATGGAAGTTAAGCCTGATCAAAGAATAAAAAAAAACAGAAAATTACTTTTTTTTAAAAAATTCCTTATTTGACCTTTAACAAAATATGTAAAAAGAAAAAATAATTATTTTTTAATTATAATTATAATGTAATATACAATATAATATATTACTATGCGATAAGTCAAAATTATTTTTTGTGTATTCTTCTGCCCCCTGTTATCAGGTGTATCTGATTGTATACAATAGGATTTTGAGCAAAGTTTTTACCATTAAATTAAGCAAAAGGTGTCAGACGCAAAACATTTCAGAAACCATATATATCAAATATGATACATTTGGCATTATATAACAGTAAGTCATTATATAACAGTAAGTCAAACCCATATTGGAAGGTTCTCTTTTTGTATTTGCAGGTATTCAGTAGTTTCTAGTGTTTTACAGGGTTAGTGAGGTGGTTCTTTACCAGCTACACCATGTTTGATGCTCCAAATATGCCCAGAACCACCTTTATTTTTATTTTATTTATTTTTTTAAAGCTGAGCCTGTACTCACCTGCACCACAGTGCCACCTTTGAACCATGAAGGAATAAAACTTAGCCTACCAGCTCGTGGTTACCTTTGGCCACATTACCTTTGGGAGGGCAGCGGGGGTGCTTCCCATCCTTACCCGGCCACTCCACGGTCAGAGGGCCATAACCACTGAAGGTGTTGATCAGACCAGCTGAAATTAAAGGCAAAGAGTTGGTAAAACTGGAATAGATTAGACTGTACATTAGACCAGTGTTTTTTTTTTAACCTTTTTTGACCCAAGGTACATTTTTTCATTGAAAAAAAATCGAGGCACACCAACCAAATATGTTAAAACAAATCTGTAGCCGCCTGCTAGTAGTGCTTTTATTTAACTTTTATTTTTTACTGTGTACCTCATCTTTTCTTGCTGTACTTCTATTGTGTTATCCATTTATTCTGTATATCTTTTTGTGCAGCACTTTGGAAACCTTGCGTTTGTTGAAATCGTGCTATATAAATAAAGTGGATTGAGACTACAATTAGGGTTAAAATAACGACTAAAACTGTTTAAAAACCTGCTTTTTTAATGGTTAAAATGACTAAACTGTTTAAAAACCTGCTTTTTAAGAGTTAAAATTACTAAACTGTTTAAAAACCTGCTTTTTAAGGGTTAAAATGACTAAACTGTTTAAAAACCTGCTTTTTAAGAGTTAAAATGACTAAACTGTTTAAAAACCTGCTTTTTAAGGGTTAAAAATGACTAAACTGTTTTTAAAAAAACTGCTTTTTAAGAGTTAACTGAATATTAGAGCATCTCTATTTCAGCTGTATTTCATGATGTGGAGAAGTCTTTATTATAGAGGATACAGCTCAAAATGACACTTCATAATTATGGCCACCAGCCATTTCCTCAACTGAACACAAAGCTCCACGCAAATTTAGGATTACTGGCACATTTAAAGATGTGCACAGTTAAAAATGCATCACAGGAGAGATTTGAGTTGAAAAGCTTAACAATGGCGAGTATTTGATCAAACAGACGAGATGCAAACTATCAATGGCCGTTAATTTTCAATATATTTGAGATTCGAGAGTTTAGATGTCATTCTGAAATGAAGATGTAGCTTGGTTTCTAAGAAGGAAGTGGCTTTTGAAGACATTTACATGGCCTAGCTCCTTTTCTACCTCCAAGCTGAAGCTTCATTCTTCAAACAAGAATTTGCAAACATGTCCTGATCTGGTCTTATAACAAATGTAACTGTATAAATGCAGATAAATGACAGTTTCATTAAGAGAAAATGTGAGCAGCCGTTACCTTCTGTGATGTCCCAGGGAACCCCCCCCAGAAAGACCTTGCAGGAGTACAGAGGGTCCTTGTTGTTTCTGGGAGGCAGCTGACCGCTCCAAGTGAAAGTGGCCTCGTTCACAGCTGGTGAGCAGAAAAACTAGTTAGCTGACATTAAATTAGGATTTTCCCAATCCGATATCTGGATCAGATCAGCCACCGATATTTGCAACAAAATGAGAAAATGCAGATCTAGACTCCAGATCCAGTCTCTTTTTTAAAGTCGGATTCCACACAAGCATTAGCATTAGCATCTGTAACCCACAGCTCTGTGTCCTAACCATTAAGTTGTTATCAGAGTAAATCCCTGTTCAACACGAGTCTGACAACTAAGTAAGTAGATAAATAATTGTAAACTTTAACACAGGCTCTGATAGGCCGGGATCGGATCAAAAGGGAAAAAAGCTGGATCAGGACGTCCCTATATTATAACTAGCAACTTAAAAATATGGAAACGGTAATCCTAAATTGTTACCCTGAATTAGCTCGGTGACATCTCAGACATACAAAATCAAATTCTTTATAAACCTTATTCATTCTGATTGAAGGCCACCATTTACATCCCCTCTTATTAATTGCTGTGTCCCCATAAAGTTACTTTGTTCTGATCAAAATGAGTCAAGCAGTTCAAATAAAAATCAAACTAAAATCCAATCTACACTTAAATTAGCATCTCTAACCCACAGGTCTGTGTCATAACCATTAAGTTGTTATCAGAGTAAATCCCTGTTCAACATGAGTCCGACAAGTAAGTAGATAAATAACTTTAAACTTTAATACATGCTCTGATAGGCCGGGATCGGAAGTGCAAAAACTTTTGCAGGAGCTCCTACAAGTTCTCCACCCAGTCCTTTTTACATACAGCAGCTGGTTGTATGGTCTTCTCTTTCTTTCTTATTTTTTCCCCCATTTCTCTCTGTCTAAAGTATCTCTCCTTTCCACTGCTCTTCTTTCCTCCCTGTCCCTCTGTCAGGGTCGGCATTATTGGACACATGTTAGTTTGGTAACAAAAATGAATAAAGCAGTTTTGGGTAATAAAGGGGGGCTTCTCACTAACAAAGCCTCCCTTGGCAAAGCAATTTTGTTCAGCATAGCACCAAGTACTCCGATTTTTGTTCTGCTGCCATAATGTTGAACAGGACAAGGAAAAAAAAAAAAAAATATATATATATATATATATATATATATATATATATATATTATTAAGAGATGAATCAATAAATTTCAGTTCTGCTGCCATAATGAACAGGACAAGGTAAAAAAAAATATATAAAAAATTAATAAAGACCTAATAAATAAATGTCAGTTCTGCTGCTGTAATGATTAACAGGACAAGGTAAAAAAATATATATATAAAATTATTAATAAAGAGATCAATAAATACAATTCAGTTCTGCTGCCATAATGAACAGGACAGGGTAAAAAAAAATATATATATATGAAAAATTATTAATAAAGAGATAAATAAATAAATATAAGTTCTGGCGCCATAATGCTGAACAGGACAAGGCAAAAAAAAAGTGAAAGTGAAAAAAGCTGGATCGGGACACCCCTACATTGACGGTTTTCTCCAATAGGCTTCTATCTAATGGCACCAATAGGCCTCTATCTTATGGCACCAATAGGCCTCTATCTTATGGCACCAATAGGCCTCTATCTTATGGCACCAATAGGCCTCTATCTTATGGCACCAATAGGCCTCTATCTAATGGCACCAATAGGCCTCTATCTAATGGCACCAATAGGCCTCTATCTTATGGCACCAATAGGCCTCTATCTTATGGCACCAATAGGCCTCTATCTTATGGCACCAACACACCAAAAAAATAAAGTGAAAAAAGCTGGATCGGGACACCCCTACATTGACGGTTTTCTCCAATAGGCCTCTATCTTATGGCACCAATAGGCCTCTATCTTATGGCACCAATAGGCCTCTATCTAATGGCACCAATAGGCCTCTATCTAATGGCACCAATAGGCCTCTATCTAATGGCACCAATAGGCCTCTATCT